TTTTGCTGTCTACTTTCGCGACGTTAGAAGGAAAACATTCGGAGTCGTTCGCGTTGACGAAGTCGACGAGTTGTTTTTCCAAGGCGAAACTACGTTAATTAAATGATGCGAGAGAGGATCTCTCTTTACGTGACAAAATACAGCGCAAATGCAAAGTTCGTGACGACGATGACATACTTTCATTGCATTTGCCTTGACAGCGCGCATCGACTGTAGCGGAACGAATGATCGTTTGTTAACGGCAACTTATGAACAAATTATGCAATGATTACCATTTAATTAATTCCGCTATCTTTCTCATATATAAATATGTAATTTAATGGATGACGCGGGGATATCGGTCGACGATACGGCCGCCCATCCGCGATGTATTTACGATAAAATATTCGACCGGACGTTAACGAGCGGTACCGGAAGCTCGTAGACAAATAGCAATTAGAGGACATCGCTGTTCCCGTCCAAAACGAGAACAAAAAGTCGTACAAGCCCGCGTGGATCGATTCGACAAGATTTATATTCGACGGCGCGTCCTCGGCAAATAGAGACCGAGAGACAAGGGGGTCGAAAAAGAGCTGTCGAACAACTATGAGGACAGTAAGTCACAATGGTTCCTCAGCGGATACCTCACGGTAGCACACAAACGCCATATACTCTAAGGGACTAATATCGCTCGTTGCTGTCGAAATATTGGCGTTCAGCCAAATGGAAATAAATAAAAGGACCATGAGGGACTAGTGCTGCCGAGACCATCCTCTGACGCGACACGTTCGATGTATCACGTATGTGACGTTACACACGCTGCCACGCTTTAAATTCGTCAGATATGAACAAAACACCGATGCACTTGTGCTCCAATTTGAATACAACATACAACTCAAGGAAAGCAATTCGGTTTCAATTTAACTCTCACGAAGCTAATACGTTCTTACTAAATATAAGAAAAAGAATATTTTTTTATAAAGGATTATTAAAGCTGAAAAACGCGATAGAATCTTATAAAATATAACTTTACGAAGCAACGATCGAACATTATTTTATACGAGCTATTTGGCTGAGAAATCTTGAAATGCAATAAAGCGGCTATGACTAAAGTGACCCGTTGTTACTTTCTTCTTCCGTTATTTTCCAACGTTTTAATATGAAGGCCCGTTTATCACCGTGATCTCTCTATTCGTCCGCTTTACAATTTAAGCACCACCATTTTCATCGCTCTGTTTTTAACTGCCTCCTTCTCTCTTTCCCCGTCGTTTTTCCCTTTCATCGAGAAATACATTTTCTCAGAAATTTTTTGCACTTCACACGATTATCATCGCGAATTTAATGAAAGAATCTTTTACGCCATCTCTCTTTAATTCGCGCAAATATATCCGCATTGTAACGACAAAGCTGAATGCACGCGCGAACGCGTGCAAAGTCATCTAAACGCTGGGGCAACATTAATAATGGCGCTAAAGCTCACATCTATTTGTATTTGTATACTAAGAGAACAGAGATGGTCCACGTAAAAGCATGCAACATCGGCCAGTGCACGATTTGCACGTCAAACAAGGCGCTTTGAAGCTATCTGAATCGTGCTCGGATATATTGCTTCTCTCGTTACAAACATGTATATGCATATTACAGAATTAACACCTCTCTACAACGGAACGAAGAGACATAATGCAATAGCATACAATGTGATAAGATCGCATTACTTTCGCTAATTAGACATGATTAACAGATTAAAAATTTTGTACGTCATTCTGAGAAATTTAAAATTAATTTTCTGTAGATAAAGTGCTTTTCTGTTCGCAATTCTCATATTTCAAGTTAAAAATATATTAATAGATTTCAAGTTAAAATATTTCACGCTGAAAATATACTAAACACATTTCTTACCTCTTTCGCATGCTTATCTTCTAACTCAAGCCTCTCTCGATTAACTTCGAGGCAGATCAGGGCGTCCAATTTTTCTTGAGTTGCGTCTTCACCCGCCGTCCTCAATGCCGCTTTCACTTTAGTTTCGTTGACTGTCTGTAATTAAATAATTTCTCTCTGAAAATACTATTATCAATGCAATATTAAAATATCAACTTCATATAAAAATCGCGTGGTTTCGCACGAAAGCGTTTCGGAAATACAAATTTAGAGACTACAATATTTACATTAAACGATGCTAAAAACTCACTCTTAATTTCTCCAGCTCTTTTTGCAGATTGTTAACTTTGTGATACATATGCAAGACGAATAAATCGAAGGCTTCTTCGCTGACAGATAACTTCTTATCATGAATATTTATATTGGGAAACAGAATATGCAATTCTTCATTGAAATTCTCTCGTGCTGTTTGAACCTGCTTCCAGTAGCGCTCCGCGACGTTACCACTATGTAATTCATCGGCGTATTTTTTCTTAGCTTCGTCCACATCGTCCATAATTTTTCTAATATTTCGCTTCGCAGCCGTTTTCATGTGAGCGGCTGCTTCAAGCACAGGTTCATCGATTAGATTGTACATACGCTTAAGCGAATCTAATGTATCTTTCGCGTGTTCTTCTGCTTGCTGTACAGTCTGTTTCCTCTTTTCTGTTGCCTCTTTTAACCTGCAAACGTGACAAATTGATTACTTAACGATATACAAGTGAAGTGTAATAACGATTATGTAAATATATATGATTACCTTTGCCAGATGACTCCGCTTACTGTAGTGCCAGCACTTTCAATCACTTTGACAACATCCTGATTGTATTCTTGAAGAGCGTACACTGCTTTCTGATAGGCCGCAATAGCTTTACCAGCAGCTTCTCCACAGTATGTTTCTAACTCGATGAGATTTTGCGGTATTAATTCATCGCGGACAGTTTTGGCAGGTGATGCTGGCTTCTCAATCACTATAAAAATATGAATTATTTAATTATCTTCCATTTAAACTTTGTAAAACGAGAAATAATGCAAACGTACCAACATCGACTTTTTCGCCCTTGTCTTTACTAACACGAATTTCGGCATAATTCTTGTTAATAGGTGCTTCTTTTTGATCGGCCAGTGGTTTAAAAGCTGGCTTGGGCGCTACAGTATATACATGCGATTGTTAAAAGTTAGTGGGAACATTATTTATTAAGTATGTAATATATATAATCCTAAAAAGAATCGAGGAAAGGAACTAGATCCAAAAGGCCACAAGAGAAAGTATTAGGAAAAAAATAAGGCATGGGTAGGAGTTAAGGAATTAGGACTCACGTATGTATTCTATAATTTTTGTGTACTGTATTCTTGTCTGACCTGGTTCTGGTTCTGATGCTTCCTTGATGAACATGCCTAATATCCTGTAAAAAACAACCATTTTTCAATAAAGTAATTAACGTGATAATTATTGTTATACATAATTTTTATTTTCTTACGTCTGCTTCACTGTTTCGAAGAACGTAAGTACAAAGTCAAAATAGCCAGAATTCTTATCTTCTTGAAAGATAACTCGGATAGTTTCATCTGTACCAGGAATCCATCCTTCGAGGGTAGCTCGAATCTTTGGGTTTCCTTTTGCATACGTTAATATTCCTAAGGTACCTATTGTTACAGCGCCTAGAGCTATCAGTATTCCTGATCCCCGACTTTTGACGCTGTTATGAGAAATGCAAATAATTAAAATAAATTTAGTGATTAAACTGATGACTTCTTCTTTCTCTCGTGACATGACCAAATTTACACGAATGGTTAGCACATATAAAATCACAGAAAAGTAACAGAAATATATGCATTAATTTAATAAATAATATGCTAAATATTATAATTCATGTTTTGCATATACCTTTTTGGTGCAGTCGAATACTTCGGCCCAGTAAACCTGGATATAAATCTGACATCCCTGCATAGTCTAAAAAAATATAAAAATCTATATTTTTGTATATATGTATAGTCAATATATTAACTCAGTAAATGTATATACTTACTGCAGTCTTATAATTAGATACATTGACTATATAGTAAGTATACATTTACTAAAGTTAACACTTTGACTGTGACATAATATACATACAGATACACAATCCACATATCAGAAAATTATTAAGCCTATTCTTTTTAGATAAACTTCTTGTAAATTCATTTGTTTTTTCTTTAATATGGACAAAAAATGAGAAAGATGAACTGTAAAAGAGTTCAACTAAAAAGAACAAACCTTTTAAGTAAAATTATTCGTCGAAGGTTGACAATTCTCGTTTCTCAGTAACGACTCAACTTGTCAAATACAGCAGTGATAAAATCATGAACGTAAATGCCATTCATAAGATTACTCATCCTTATTTAAGGAAAACACATGCACATAACCTCATTACGTTCCGATTTCACCGCATCAAATTGTTCGTAAATAACATGAAAACATAGTGTCACTCGCATTTTGAGATCCACAAAGCATGAGGACGATCTCCATTGAATGATGACAGGTCTAACAAGCGGTGAGACCTGTCGAGACCTAAACTGTTGAAGAGCTCACCTTCCATCCGGCTCGTACTTGATGCGCACCCGCGGCTCGTAGTACCTGGCGGTTAGATGTGGCCTGGAGCAGCCGTGTTTTTTTACCTGAAAGGGTAAACGGCGTCGAGATCAGAGCTTTTGGAGTTATATAAGCCTTCTTGAAAACATGCCATCTTTGTCACGCGCGCGAGCCGGGAAACGTCGCCCGCGGTCGAACGTTCGTGAAAGCGGATCCCCGGGATCGCCGTCGTCGTAGCTCATCCGATTCCACGACGCTCGTCGTCGACCATCGGTGACGCGCGATAGCCGACGGCGGTGGAGTCGGTCGACGCGGGATCGTCGCGCGACACTGTCGCGAGGACAAGACGTCACGCTATCGTGTCATCGTGCGGTCGCTCCGCGACGATTCCTCGCAGTATTTTAACGCGGACGATCTTACCCGGACGATCGCGCCCCGCCCATCCGCGGTCCTCTCGCACGTGGTTACGTACCCGATTCAGACCGTTGTACGGAAATTTTAATCCAATTCGGAACATCTTTCGAGTGGCCGGTCAGGCAGCCAGCGGGAAAAGGGGAACGACGGCACGGGGAGAACAGCTGGTCACTGGGACTGGACGGAACTGCGCGAAAAGAAGAATGCTGCGTGCCGTGAGCGCGGCGCTGCGAGGTGGGTGTATGCGTGATCCGCGGCCGATCCTGCGATCGGCGACCACGTCGCGAGGTGTTGTTACGCGTCGGCCGTACGTTGCATCATGATACACCAGCGATTTCACGTCTGGTTTCGTCGCGAACAACGGGATGCAAAACACCGAGAGGTTAGGTTCGCCTCGTCGCGGTCGCCATGACACGCGACTGGCGGTAGGAACGCTGCGGAATCGGGACGCGGGCGCGTGTTTGAACGTCCACTTGAGGGTTCTCGTCTCGCAGGGACGTCGAGATTTACATCTTCTTTGTGCATTTTTTATTCGCAGCGTTATCATATTTAATTAATTCTTTTCCTAATTAAATTCAGTAAGATCAATGAGCAAAAGTTCCCAAATAATCTATGTTTCAATTCGAAAAAATGAATCTATGAAACAACTCCTTGTAAACACCATCTAAAAGTAACATAACGTTACTCATACTCAACAATCATACTCAACAATATAAGTATAATATAAAACATGTGTTGAATAACAGTTACATTAACTATATTTAGCAGAGAAAGTAGCTTTGCAACTTTCGTAAAATTTTTTATGTGATTGGTTTCGCCCTTCTTCACTGGATTTAAATGTATAAAGTTTATAGATTCAAGCCCAGCAGATAAATTTATAAATGTATAAAGTTATATTTAAACCCAGTAAATACATTTCAAATCATATTAAAGAATTTTACAATAGTTGTAATCAAATGTGAAATCATAATTTGATTTATATCACTTTTAATTAGTATTTATTGGGGTTTGTGACATTCTATTCGTACGATTGTACATATATGTTAAGATACTCACGCATGTTTAAACATTTTATCGCATACATTTAAGACATTTAAGATATTTTTCCTTGATTTTGTAATTTTTTATCTTGCAAGCACACATACTGGATTCAGTGTTCTTTCAGGAATCGCAGCGAGAGCGACGAGTACAAATGCGACAAACTGTATTACTTCAAAATGCGATTCCATTTTGAATTCCATACAACACAGAGGGTTTGGAACACTATCAATCGCTGTCCAGAAATGGGCAGCTGTCGGACCTACGCAACATAAGACGCTACTAAAGTAATGTAGAATATTGTAGAAGTGATTTGTGAAACATATTGATTTCTATGTAAGATACTAAGTTGCTACATGAAAGCAATATTATCCTTTCAGCCATGCGGCGACGGAAAATCGTCTAGCTTTGCCAGCAAAACCTATTAATGTGCCAGTGAGAACTGTAATCAAGTTTACTATGTCAAGAGGAAAGCGGCAGACTGTAAAGACAGTTCTAACACGTTTCTACCGACTGCACTGGTAATATTTCGAGAATATATCAAGCACATAACAATATCAAAAATTATAGATTGCACCAAATATTTCTGAACGATCTTATTATTGGTTGATACTTATATTCGAGATCGTCTTAAATACCGTCTTAAGATGTCTAAGTTTTAAGACGTGACAACTATTCACATTAGCATCTTAACCCTTAGTACACACTATTGAGTCAATCATGTTCTGCACATTTCTTTTCTTAAAAAAAACTAGGATCACCATCAGGTAATTAGTTACAACATTCATATACTTCTTTTTCTTCTTACATTAGCAGGGTGTCCCCTGCCGGGAAAAACCTGGAAAACCTGGAATTCTCAAGCAATTTTTTTTACCCTTGAAAATCCTGGAATTCTCATGGAATTTTGTTGAAATTGTCAGGGAAATTTTTCGAATTCTATTTTTAAATTTAAATTCTATTTTGTTTGACAGAATCATTTCTTTGACCATTTTTTGATAAATAATGCAAGTTTGACTAGACCCTATTGCCAGATAGTAGCCGTTTGTGGTATATTAACAGCATATGAAGGAATAATACGTGGTCTACAATAAGAGTCGTAGTGGTCGTATAAAAGTCTTAAATCGTAAGAAATTAATCAATCATAGTCAAATGTAAGGAGAATCTTATATATAATCGACTATAATTGGTCAATTGCTTACGATTTCAGATTTTAGGACCACATTGTAGAAAACCTCACATATGCTGATTCTATAATGAGTTAGTAGTCGGTAGTCTTAAGTCTTACCAGAGAATCAGAAGTTGGCCAACTTGTATGATTAAAGATGCCTTTTCACGCTTATGCTCGACGCTCATTTTTAGCATCAATATGTTTAGGTCACGTGATCGAAATTGACGCTATTGATATTCATTAATTTTTATCACGTTATCTGTTTTGACACTAAAAATAAGAATCAGCATGAAAAGACACTTTAAGTAAGACTATCGATTTTCTTAAGACTGACTAAATTCGAATTTTCAAAAATGCTCAGAAGGAAGTAGAAGCACTTAACGAACAAATTCAAGCTTTAAAAAAATGGATTTCAGTATTCTGTATTGTCTAAATGTTATTTACTTATAAATATTATTTATATCTTGTTTTTTTTATTGTAAACAAAAGTTATATTTATATATATAATTTTTGAATTATTTGTTTAGGAATGTCTCTAATGTACAATGTCTCTAATCTTATCTGGAATTTTGAATAAAATTCATGGAAAAACCTGGAATTCTCAGGGAATGCTTTCATAAGATTTGAGTGCCCACTCAGGTTAGGCCTCTGGCCTGTGTTACATTCATATACAATTTCATTAAATATACTATATACACAATCTTATAAATCTAAAGATAATACTTTTTAAGGGTCCCATAATGAGAGTTTCTATAGAAGCTATGTGTTTCGGGTTATCTCTGTGTCCATATCTATTCTTGGAATGCTAATGTTTTGTAAACGTCGCAGTTTACTTTATCAGGTCGAAGAGTAGTCTGATACTGATACTTTCGAAAGATGTTAAAATATATAGAAGAATCACTTCATAATTTTTTTATATTTGTTAATCCTCCGTGAACCAGGTAGAAAATCAACATGGATCAAATGTGGATATATCTCATATCCCATGTTATACTTCATTGTAAATATACTATAATTTAGTGTGATTGGTAACAACGCATTCTCCAGTTGCACGAAATCGGCAACACAACGCGCGGTACTTGTTAAGAAGTTATAGAAATTCTTGCTGAGGTATGTCACACCTCACCTAATTCACGGAGGATTAAAGTGATGAAAAATAACCTGAAACAAACGACTCATTGTGGGGTAGTAAAGAATCGGGAAATCATTGTGTATACTAATTATGACTACTCAAGATGATCTTGAATACTTCGGCCCAGTTTCACAATTCACGGTTAATTTTTAACTGAGGTTCAATTTATTTCTCATCTTTTTCCAATTCTAAAATTAAAAGGTTAAGATCTTAACTGTGAATAGTGAAACTGGACTTCAAGAACGAATATCAGTCATTTGTAGAAACTCAAAATTTCGAGAGATATAAAATGGAATGTTGCAGGGGTATCTGGATCAGAACAAGATCAGGTCGACACAATAAGCTGTGGACAAAAACGAGCGCCAGAAAAAAAAGACTGAGGAAACACGTGTTCTGCAATGCCACGCAGTCGACGCTTCTGGACAAGATGGTATCTAAGTACTGGAAGAGACGGCACTATTATATTGACGATCCGTACGAACCGTATCACGACCGCGAGGAGTTCAGTATCACTCGGAGAAAACCGTTACCTTAATCATTATCTAATTGTGAATTGCTAGATTGTAAGCTTTTGATTGAAGAGATATTAAAAATGATGCTATTAAAATAGACCGCATTCTCTTTTACTTATATATTAATTATACTTATTACGTAATCAAATGCTACTGGATGTATTATAAAATATTCTGTATAAATATTTATAGATAGTGTTTTAGATTAACATATACATATTTCATCTTTCTATCTTTATCGAGATTTTAGTAAACAGTCGAATATTAAATAATATTTATACATTATTATTATATTTGTTTAGTATTATATACATAACAAAATATTGATTATGGAAAACACAAAATTTTTCTTCGCAATTTTTCGCTCCTAATTCCTCCATTACAATAAAGTTTACGTACTTAGGCCCCTTTCTACCAATATAATTTAATTTTAATCTCGGTTTAACTAACTCTTCATCTTTTTCCAGTTCTGAGAATTAGAAAAAGATGAAGAGTAAGTTGAACTGAGATTAAAGTTAATCTACATTGATAGAAACAGGCCTTAGGCCCAGTTCCACAACTCACAGGCTACGTTTACACCATGCATTTAGGCCGCGGCCTATACAATAGATGTCCTTGTTTATCCTGTATATTAAACAAAGACACCTATCGTTTAGGTCGCGAACTAAGCGCATGGTGTAAACGTAGCCACAGTTGACTCTTAACCGAGGTTCAACTTATTCATTGTCTTTTTCTAATTCTAGAATTAGAAAGAGATGAGAAACAAATTGAACCTCGGTTAAAAATTAACTGTGAGTTGTGGAACTGGGCCTTAATTGGTATAACGCAAAATTGATAACGATGCATGCGGTTCACATTTTTGTCGTCGCAAATGTTGAAGTTGTTTACTTGCATGATCGATATCGCTTACTTTAAAATGATAAGATAACACATATTGCGCAATATCATCGGTACGTCGTCATTCGCGAGCGTTCTCGTTACATTCAATAATTTCCTACGTTTCTCTTTTTCTCTCTTTTCCATCAATCTGTTTAAAATATTGCATAAATCAGTCTTTTCGCCTTTTTATCAGGAAATCACGTGGTGGGACCTCTAACGTGCCGCGTAACAGGCGTGCGTGACACTCGAGAGAGCTGAGAGCGTGGCCTGTGTGGCCTCTATTCTCAGTTGCGTCTCGTCTTTCACGGCGTTCGTGTCTCTTTACTGCTTTTGATTTTCATTGACCGATTGGCTCCTCATTGCTCTCTGTCTCGCTCTCTACTCGCTTATCTCCCTCTCTCACTCGTAATCTATCAACAATCACGCCTGTTAAAAGATGCCGTATCGCGGAAAATTACGACTACTAGGCAGAACGTGTCTCGCGATCGCTAACGCGTGTGGGAAGAGCGAGAGCAGTCCGTGTTATGCCATTGCTAGCATTGTCGACAGCAGAAACTTCTCCGTGAGCTGTGCGCTCGATATGAGGTGAGCACGTACAACTCAGGGCTGTAACAGACATGTGGGATCTCTTGCGTTTTGGGTAATCGAGTCTTCGAACGTCGTAATTCCGTCGTGATTTCGTTGTTATGAAAAGCTTGGATGGAAGTCGCTGTCGTGCTGTTCTGATTTTACGACAATATTCAGAATTAGATTATACTTTAAGATCGTTTTAATCCGTCTGTAATCATTTTTTATTTCCTACATCTGCAATATACTTAAGTCTTTTTTATCCCCAAGTTTTTTTACTGTTCTAGATTTTCAAAAAAATGTAGAAAAATTCAGAATTATTTCCTAATATCTCTGTCATATTACCAAATATTTGGTTATTTAACTTAAATATTAAAAATCTTTATTTACTCCGCCCTTCTTAACTTACTATTTCAGAGAAATTTGAGAATCAAATTTCATTTGTGCCCAAAAAGACTAGCAGATTACAGACGGAGAGTTAAGAGGTTCGTTTTTTGTTCTTGCACTAAACAGCACTAGAAAACTTGCCTTCTCGCTTTTATCAAATTTCAAATATATATCTGTTTCACTTTAAATGTACACTACAGTTTCAGAAAAAGTACGCTAATTCTGCTGTAAAAAAACAATTTACGAATGTCGAAATGCAATCGTTTTATTGATTGAGGTCTAGTTCCCCATAAATATGAGATTAACTTTTAATTTCAATTTAATTTATTATTTATCTTTTTCTAATTTTTTAAATGTAATTTGCTAAATACATTCCTAGATTCTCTAAAATCAAACTTATTGATACACTGAAAAAAATTACCATATAAATCTTAATACATAGGTATATTTTTTAAATAAGTATAAATGTTTACTTAAAGTAAATAAATATTTACTTAATAAAAATAATAATTAAATTAATGATTCTTGTACCAAATAAATATATGTTTACATTTTCTAAATACTTACTAGTCAAATAAATATTAATTACAATTTTGTATACTTTTTTCAATGTAAATATAAATTTCCGATCGGATTGTGAATATTGTTTTTAGACACTTGTGATACTCGGTCCGATTTTACATTCAACTGCGTTCAATTGTTCGTTCACACCTACCTGACGCGTATATACGTCGCGTCTGCCTATTAAAAGAGCATGCATCCGGAGTTACGTCTTTGGAGTCTATTAGAAAATCTTTTTTTCTTTTTTTTATAGAAGATCACATGTCTGAAGATGATAAGTGAAATCGATGTTAACGTCACTAAATGATTCATAATAAATAATTAGAGGTTTCTGGAAGTACAAAGTTAGGAATGTTACATGAAAAATATTATCGGTTGCATTTAGTTTGAAAAGTAGTTTTGCGATGACGATAATTGCGACTCTTATCGTTGAAAAACTCGGTTACTAAAAACTCGGTGAAAATTACGAAACGTTTGAATTACGAAATATATAACATAAAATACATTTTTTTAATTTGGACATTATATTACAGATCGTCAAACTACTATATTTTAAAAGACTATTTCTACATAGGCACATACACATACGCACGCACGCAAATACACACACACATGTGCATATGGAGATACCTAGTGCTAATAAGAAATGTGTTCATTTTTATCTTGATGGCCGCATGTATTAAGATATTATATGTTGAAACTGAAATATGTATACTGAGAGAAAAATGTACTAAATTTTAATAAATAATTGTTTAAGTAGTACTAATTATATAACATTTATTTACGGAAAATAAATATTTGCTAAATAAAATATAATAATAGGTAAATCAAATCAATAGTTCTTGTACCAAATAAATATATGTTTACATTTAGTAAATATTCGTTTGGCACTATTCAAACAAATATTTATTAAAATTCAGTACGTTTTTCTCTCAGTGTATGCATTATTTATTCTTTCCGTTAAAGGCAGTTTATAAAAAATAAATTTCAGAAAAAAATAAAATTAATATTTCAAAAACTATATATATTAGTTGGAGGAGTTAAAATTATATAACTTGATTTTTATTTCCTATTGTACACAATTATTAGATTTTCCGCATTTATCGTTCATATGATTTCGTTACGTTTCACTGCTTGTCGCGGTTTCGTGGCGAGCATGAAATGATAACAAACGCGTTACCGTTAGAAAGTTAGATCATATATACGTAACGTAACGATTATTCCGACCAGCTCTCATGATTTTCCTAGTTGATTAACGCGGCGCTAATCGTAATATATTTTCGCAGGTTCGTTCAATTCACAAACAAAAATGGTGGCCCGCAGCATCTTGGGGTCCAGCTGAAGCAGGGAGGTGATATTATCGCCGTGTCCGCGGTCGACTCGCGAATACCGAACACGTTGAAAAAATTTCTGGAGGGCGGCGACGATCTTCTCAAGAAGGCCAAGAGGTAGGAGAGCTAATCAACAGATCCGGGGTAACTCAGGGAATCTTGAAGAGCATCTCATACGCGAGATACAAGTATTGATAAAAGATAACGATGATACATCATAATATTTGTACGCACTTGACGCGATTTGTAATTATTTAACGTGATGACGCGTAGATACTTCGCGCCAGATTAAATTGTAGAAAGATTATGATCAGAAAGTGGTTTGGAATAGATAAGAAACAAGATCACAGTAATGTTACTCTTTAATATCGTAATAAGCCACAGTTATGGTACGTTACTTTTTAAGACAATTTCCAATTGAATATCTTGGGAAAATACGTCTTTTGATTGAAGAGATATAATTACAAGTTCAACTTGGGGTTATTTCACAAATTTTTTTTTCTTTAACCTAGAATTCTAGAATTTAGTACATATAGATAATATCACATTAACGGGTGATGTGAGAGAAAAAAAATATCCGATCTCAACGTGAATATTTGTTTCGCCAGGGACGACGATTTCGACCTAAGGAAGGCAGTAGAGAGGTTGGTGCTTTCGGTATTCGATTCGTGTGATAAAGTAGTTTTCCCCCTTTTTTTCTTCCCTTTGGACTAGTTATCTGTACTTGTTACAATATTAGATACATTCAATCTTCGCTTACGCACATATGCCGTTGATCTTCTTTTAGCCATAATATATCGAGCCACACCTTTGAATCACTTTTTTTTAACTGTTATCAATATAGCCTTATCAAGTTCATTGATTTTATATCTAATTTTACATTATAGAATTTTTCATTGCTAATACAGATATTAATTAAATTCCGAGTTGTTATTATTCGCGATAAATGAGACTGAGTTATAAGAAAAGACTGAGTTATAGAAAAAGTACAAATAAAACAAGTGCACTCAAGCAATTTTTTACAATCCTATTATATAAAATAATTTTTTCTCTTTGCGAATAGAAGAAAAATATAAATTCGTATTCAATAATTTCCAGCTCGATATTTCATACTGTTGACAGAAAATGTGAGAGTGATTTTGAAACATGACAGCAGAATACACGCATGGTATAGTCATTCATATAATGATTGTGCAACGGCAGAATTTTAATCGTGTACAAATAAAATTGCTATCGTCTTATTAATAATTTGACGAATTATTAATAATTCTTATCGTCTTATTAATAATTTGACGGCACGTCCAATTGATAAGGCGATAGCTATCTTATTTGTACATGATTAAAATTCTGCCGTTGCGCAATCATATTATTG